CTGGGCGCGCTGGGGCAACCGCGGCGCTGGCGCCAGGTGCTTGGCTGTCTTGCAGTCCAGCTCGCCTCTCGAACCTCGCAAACTGCTGAGCTCGATTTTTCACTGGTTTGGGAAAAGAGCACAGAACTGTATGGGCGATTCCAAATGCTTTTTCCTTTTTCTGTCTTTAATTGGGCGTTATTTATATTTTTAAAAAATAGAAGGGAAAAGAGTTAACTAGAAGAAAAGGAAGAACTCGAGCTCAAGCTTCATTGCTTAAGTTTGGAATCGCACACACTGGTGTCAGGAGGGACAGTTCAGGTATTCAATGCTAATCCTTAGAAGTAGAAATAGAAGAAACCTGTTGTACGTGCAACGTTTGCCAAAATCAAGCTCTCCTGAGCTATAAAGATCCCACAAGTTTCAAAACACCGAAACCATTTAGAGTGTATTCTCAACACAATAGAATTAAAATAGAAATTAGCAAGAGCAGTAAAAATCTCCAACTACCTGGAATTGGAGCAAAACACATTATTTCGTGGCTTAATGAAGAAAACACAATGGAAATGAGAAACTACCAAACTGAAGAACATAAAAATCTGGGATGCTCCTAAGGTGCTTCTAAAACAGTGCTTAGGTGGGAAAGTTACTGTTCTGTGTTTGATGTTTGATGAATTATGATGCAAATGATTATTCATAATGCAAATAGAATGCATAATTTCTCACCTCCATGTATGTAGAACCCTTAGCCCACTGGCATACAGTAGCTGCCCTGGTGTTATGTTATTGTTAGGCTAATAATATTGAGAAGCAGTATGGGTAGTGGTGAAGTGCAGGACTTTGAAATCATACTACCTGTGTTTCAATTCTCATTTAGCCGTTTACTAGCTATGTGTGTTTGTATAGGACTTAAACTCTTTGAGTCTCAGTTTTCGGAGTTGTTGAAATAGTGATGATACAGTAATTTTTGTTGTAAGGATAAATGAGTGAGTCCATATATAATACCCTTGGGAAAGTGCCAAGCCTATTGTTAGCATGCAAAAAATTTTAGCTATTATTAGAGAATATATATTATTAACGATAATTTTTAATAGGTAAAACTTGAGAACTAAGTTAACATAAATCCTAAATGGACTTAACATTTTACCTAAAGAAATTGAGACTTTAAGCCACAGAGCTAAAACAAATTTTAGACTAAATTTGCCCAGCCCATTATCTCTGCAAAAGATTACTGTGTACAGATTTCTCATTTCCCACGGGCAGAAAATAATGCCTAAGAATGCCTGCCACTCCCAAAGACCTCTCTGGGAGGCTCTTTCTTAATGTGTGCTTGCTGGAACCCCGTCAGTACATTGTGGCTACTGCTGACCGAAAGGTGGATTGTGAAATTCCCTACACATATGTCCATACAAGAGCAATGGTAATTAGCTTGACCAACTTCTTTCTGGGGAATTTGAACCAGAGAAATTAGGGAGGGGTCCGTAGGCTGATATTTGAAACCAAGAGATGATCAGAGATAGAGAAAGTAGCTAGGTTATGGTTCGGATAGGACAGGCACTTGAGTGAAGAAGAATGGCAGCTGTTTTGATTGTCAATAACGTACATATGAAATATGTAAAAATGACTTCTGGCCTGATTTAAGTAACATAACCCATTTCAGTTCTCTCTAGATTAGTCATATAGTTTAATTTTTACATTAAGCATTCTTTAATACTCCACTCAAGAAATATTTAAAACTCTACTTGTGTAATGCATGAAAAGACAGAGTAACAATCCATGCCTGAATCCTAGAAAGTGGTCCATGAGCAAATATAATAATTGAAAGAGCTCTCTCTCACAGCTCTATAAGAAATAGAAGCAGGGACAACAGTGTTTTGGAGCACTTCCAATAGGTGAAGACCCAAAGGGGAGAGGGCACAGTTTTTTAAAGACAACCATGGATTCTGGCACTTTGAGAACTCTGCTTGTTTTGTCATGATGCTTGACAGGAGATTTTATGGCATGTCTGGTTCAGTGACACCTGGTGTCAGCTGAGGGATACAATAGCTACATCAGCAGGAGGCCTCAGTTCCTCTGAAGTGACCAGAGGAAACTGACCTGCTTAGCAAGAGATTGTGGGCCAATGACAACACTCTATCCTGAGTTCCTGTGAGACATATTTGAACTTTCAGAGACATTTTGCAGATGTGGTTGTGTTGGGCTGGGGTGGGGAGGATGTTCTCAAGTTGCTGAACACCTATATTGTGTGGGCCCAAGGCCAAGAAATTTTGAATTTTTGATGTTGGTATGAGTCAGTCTATATGTCATAGGCTTGTATGGTTTGGGAAAAATCAACTTTTGTCTTGTTTTATAGGATGATTTTCAGTGAGCTGGGATAGAGAGACATAGGGGCTTCATGGAGCATTTGGGGTAAGTGAGATATTTTCTCTTTTACTTTTTTCACTTGGCCTTTCCCCTTTGGCTATGCATGCACTCCCTAATTGTATGTCCTTTTTACATTTTCCCCAACTCTAATGTTTTTGGTGGGAAATTTCTACAGCATAGAAGCTTGCATTTTTTTGAGTTCTGACTGTGCCCCATGCATTTCTGGACACTAAGAAAACCAGTATGAGTAAGATGTCTTTTGCATAGTCAGAAATGATGTACAGATCCTGCACTATGATGTGCAATCTCCACATGGCCACTCTTTGAGAATTACATTTAACCCCCCCCACAAATGAAACAGCTTATTAATCACTAGTGTACATTAAATATGCAACTAGGAGACTTTTCAGATTTTTTATAGTGCGCCATATGGTAATTCATTCTAAGGTGTTTCATGAGAGGACTTGCCTTGATAGCGCTATCTTCTTTCAATACCATTTGAAATTTAGCACTTATAATTCAGTTTCTCCAGCATCCTGGAATAAGTGTGTACTCTCAACCAAGATGGGCATGAGTTTGGAACAGCACCATTCAGTGGCAAGTTGCAGACTCTTTTTCTGACCTTGATTTTTCAAGCTAGATGAGGATCATGTTGAACAATCTAAGTGGTCTGATAGGTCTCTCTAGAGAGTCAGATGAAATAGCAAAGTACTTGCCATAGAAAAGATATAAAAAATTTTCATTTCTATCTTCTGTGGCATTTTAAATTTCCTGAAGAATAAATTTCAGGGCCTCTTTATATATTTTGTTCATTTTTGTAGGGGACCGACACATATCATTTCTTGTCCAGGAGGCATGAAAGCATAAAAAAAAAAATACTGATCCAAGGAAATATTCAAGGATAGTGCATTGTATCAGCTGACCATCTTTGGATTAGGCACAGATAGTAATATAAAGAAAACCAATTTTTGTCCCACTGAAAATGTCAACATCTTGGGACACAAACTCTGTTGTCTTAGTTTTTGATTTCTTATTTCTTGGTAATGAATAAACATCTACTTCAATTCAATTCTACTAAGTGAAAGAATTTAGACTGTGTTTTTAAGTATTTAATAATTAAATGCTATGGGAAGGATTATGGGGCCCTTGGTGGTGGTGGTGTGGTATGGTAACATGTACTTGAATAGGTGTGAACCTGTACCTCTGAATCATATGCAGTATTGTAAACCAGTGTTAACCTTAATAAAAAGTGACTTGTACAAAGCATAAAGAAGCAAAATCACTGCCAACATTACCCAGTAACCTTAACAGCCACTTGCAGAATGTCCCAGAGCATAAGTCAAGAACTACTGGAGAGTCCACCGCTTTCCAATAAGCAGGAGCAATAACTTAGTAGTCATCTTGTGTCTGATTTGAACTTACAAAGTTGAGAAAGAGAAGTGATAGATATATCTTGTGGTTATTTACTGTGCAAAAATTTCAAGGAAAAATGCACAATGACCAAAAATTGCAAATTGACATAGTTTTGCATTACTGTAATAATGTCAGAGAAAATGAGGCGATACTTGCATTTATCAAGTATTTAAAGGAGTTGCTCTGTAAAAAAGTGAGTGAAAGAATGTGCTATAGAGCTCTATAGAATCATTAATCAGGAAATAGGTAAGATGACAGAAACTGGGCCCTCCCTGGTGGCACAGCCCGTTAAAGCACTACACTAAGAAGCTTAAGCCACTTCCACATGAGTTTGATCCCCGCCTGCCCAGGAGGAGGTCCACGGGCATGGCAGACCTCTCCTGACCTGCCCGCTGCTCCCCTCAGCAGTGTACTTCATCGATCTGCCTATTCTGGTCCCCACTCTGTCCCTCGTGAATCTTCTAACCCTCCGCAGCTCTGGCCTGTACCCCAGTTCTGTATGAATAAATAAACAAACAAAAAAGATGACAGAAACTGAAAAATCAAGGTCAACTCTGCTGTTTTGAGGGTTAGGCACCATAAGGATGAAGTAGGATGTACCACACACAAGACCCTGCACACCTCAATGTCATCTACATTAGTCTCATGGAAAAGATTAATGTTTATTTTTTTCTTCAGAAAAATCCTATTAAAATATATTCCAGTTAACGTGGTTTAGCAATTGCTGTGGAACATTTTACCAGATTAGCTAGGTGCTACCTAGATTAGACTCTTCAAGAAATGATGCCCGGGCAGTTTATTTTTGTTGGGAGTGGTGAAGATTATGGGAAGTTTTGAGCATAAAGTGTGTACAAAGAAGAATGAATGAGGAGCTATAACAGGAGGTAGGAGATAGTGAAGTTGAAGGAAATAGGAACACTTTGGAGACTCACAGTTGCCTCAGACCAGGAAATACCTCTGGTTCATGGTTGTATGCAAGTGAAATAACATAGCAGGTACACAAAGGTTTATGGACAGACAAAGG